AATTTTTCATAACTTCTGCTGCGGCCGGCGGCCAGCGGCCAGCGTCGGGCCCAGTGTGCAATATGGCGCCCTAAAACCCCGGCTCCATGCCATGTGAAACTAATCTATTTGTGCGGCCAGAAAGGGCCGCCTCAGTCCGCATCATCTGGCTGGCCTCTTCATCGATCGCCGATGCCTGTAACTATATGTATATACAGATATATACAGAAATATAAAATATATATGTATATTTGCGTGTTATCTGCTATCGCTGCGCTTTGATCTTTTACCGCTTCTGCTTTGCATAATAAATTCGCTATCGATGAAAACTAACTTGCAACCTGGTCGATCTTTAGGGTATCTCTGCCTCTCCCGTTTCTCTTCTCGTCTAGGATATTGGGATTTCCCCGGCAATTTGTTTTGCAGCGCTTGGGCAGCGCCTTTGGGCCATTGGCTGTTTAATTCGATTGCGCTGGCGATTTTCGGTTTCGGCTTTACCATTTTATTACAATAGCATAATTTTTTACTATGCTTAATGAGTTCTGCTTTGATTAGTTTTTTTCTGTTTTGTTTTTGTTGTTGTTTCTAGTTTGGCGCTTGGCGCCTTGGGCATAATTCGTTGTTTGTTGGGTGTCGTTGGCAAAGGCTCAATTTGCAGAGAAACTGAAGCGGCAGCAGCTGAAACTGGAACTGAATAGGGACTGGAAATGCGACTGGGACTGGCATTGGGAGCCGCACTGTAGGTAGTTAGCATTTGCCTATTGAAATGTTGCAAATTGAATTTGTTATGCGCCGTTTAGAAAACATTGATATAATCTAGATTAAGATTAAATTGAATTAAGATAAAAAGCATAGCTTTCGCTATACATAGTTTTATGGCTTATGCTAACATCAAAGTCCTTAGAATTTAGTAAAATCTAAGCATCTATATAAAAAAAATATATATAAATAAAATACCTTTTCAAATCTAAGCTTTGTGTATATCACTTACTTTGTTTATATTTAACATGGTACTCCAAAGTACCCACCGATACTGACTGTTTTCTTATTTGTATAATATTGTTATTTTTTGCTTTGTCATATATTATATTTTATGTATTATAGCGACTTCTCCCGCTGAAATTTGAAACCTCGTTATCAATTGTGCCGCACGGCTTGCTTACACTGCTTGTGTTCACTGCTTAGCAAACACTGCTTACCCAAGCAGTTGTTGTAAGTCTCTGATGAAGCAGAGTCTGGACGTTTAATAAGCACATGCAGATGTGCAAGCTGTCAAAATCTAACTGCTATGCGCATGACGGTCGTTAAAGTTCAAACCATTTTCAATTGCTTTTGCAGTTAAGTTTAAATATCACACTAACTGAGGCATACCCACAGCGCGATTAGGCGTATTTAATATCAACAGCAGCTGTGAAATTTGTGCTCAAATTCGTGCTTTACTTGGCGAGGGTTATCATGTCGACGCTATCAGGGCACGCATTGACGCCAGCCAAGTTGCGGGGGGCCACAGATGCCACTGACACACATATGTGTGATTTATGTGGTCATACCACACACACACATTCACATGCGCATGTATACATGTATGCGTATCGGTAGTATTTGCATATGTGTGCGCACAAAGTTTCGGCGCGTGTCTCTCATCTAGCTTCCTAACACCTGGGCACTTTATTTTCGGGCAGTTCATGGAGATAGAGATAAAGACGGAGAAAAAGAGTGTGTGAGAGAGAGAGAGAGACCTTGACATTGCGCGTGTATAAGTGCCTTGCAGTGCCAAACAAATTAACCAAAAAATAAAAATTAAAATAAAATCACATCTTATAAAAAATCAAAAGCCAAACGAACAAAAATTTCAACTCCGGCACATGCAGGAAAAACCGGTACCCAAGTACAATTCGAGTTATTTTTGTTATGATTATTGATATTGTTATTGTTACATGCGCGAGACGCTGACACGTCTAAAAATATCCGCCGGACATCTATTGATAACCGTACATCGCGCTGCCTGTCACGCCGCATGTCTGACACTATTTTGGCAAGCGACGACAGAGGACGGACACACGCACACACACACACACAAACATATATGTGTATCTATATATTTGTTGGACGCGTGTCGTGGCTTTTATTTTGTTATATAAAATATAATTTGTTGATAGCCATGCCATTGCCAAAAAATATGTTAGCCAATTGCTTAAGACTTATTTATTAAATTAAATTAGTATTTTTTTATTTTTATAGTTTATGCTTTTCACAATAACTCCGCTCTGTCAGCTATTAATGAATTTCAAATATAGAATCATTCAGTAGGATTTGCCATTAAAATGTAAATATTTTTACAACTGGCTAAGGCATTTTTATTAACGAATAAATTCGTGAAGCCGTTCGTGTTTCTGATTTCTATCAAGACAACGCGACACGTGATGGGCCCTATTAAATAATCATATACACTACTCCAACTGGGCATACTTGAGTCGATGTAGCTTATGTAACACTATTGAAGGTTGTTGAGCAGAAAATTAAATATTAGTTTAGTCAGAACTAACTAAATAATTTTAAATATTAGTTATTTTATAATAATAAATAATAGTTATATTAGTTTTATTTATTTATTTATTTAATTTTTATTAAAACCATTTTATTTATTTAATTTTTAGATTTTAATTTATTTTCATTGCCCTTTATTAATATCCATTTTATATACATCCCGAAATTATGTAAAAATATTAATTTTATTTATTTATTATTATTATTCATAATTTACTAATACGCTTTTATTTATTTAATATTTTGATTTGAGTTAATTTTCAGTTTTTTATACATTTTAATTTACTTTATATAAAAAATTCTAAAAACATGTTTAGAAATATAAAAAAAAAAAAATCAATAAATAAATTTGGAGTTTTATATTTAATTTATAATTTACATTACATTATTTGATATAAAATAATCAGATATATCTTTTACATCTCGAATCAAGATTTTTCATCAATATTACTTTATTTTAATGATATTATTTTGCTCAATCTAGAAATCTGTTATAATTCTACAATTACAATATCTGAACATTATGAACAAAAACAAAAATTAGTATTCATGTTAGTTTTGATTAGAACTATTATACAAATACAACTTATATACCAATAAATTTAATAAGTATAATTAAGTAATTTAATGTATATCATTTCAGTTCTCTCCAAACGTCTGCTGAGGGTATTCCCACATCGCTGTTTGTTTGTTTTTGTTTTCCATTTGTATAAATTCCTGTTTTTGCCAGTTCGTACATGTGTTTGAGGAGTGGAGCTTGTTCGGGGGCTGGGAGCTGGGGGCGTTGTTATTGCTGCTATTGCTGGCTGGCGCGTGTTTAATTCGTCTTGCAAAATATAAATTTACCACCTCTTGATTACGCACTTTCCGTGGTCAATGCCGTTGATATGCTTATAACGCGTTTTGCATTGACGCAAGTGGGCGGGCAGCGAAGTGGCCACGCCTTGGACGCCGCTCTGTGCCGTTCCTCCAGCCGCCCCTTTGGCCCGTTTATGTCAACGGCTGCAAGTTAATTTTCCATTTCGCTAGCGCACAAAACTTTTTACAGCTGCTCTGACGCCATTTTCAGGGAGTGAAATGGGCCAGACAGCCAAGCCCTCCCGCTCCACCCCACACTCTACTCCACTCTCTACTATCCACTTTCCAGCTACTGCTGTTGCTCCACTTGCTCGCTCTTTTTTGCTTCGGACGTCTCGCGCCCGCACGTGTTGGCAATTGAAACTGAAAAATGTCTGCCGCCAAGCATGAAAAAAAAAAAAAACACCCACGAACCCATTAAAACCATACATAACCATTGGCAGTAGGTGGGAGTGGTAGGCAGAGCGAGAGAGAGAGAGAGCGTGAGAGTATGAGAGAGGTGGAGCAGAGAGGGGCAGAGAGGTGACAGCTGACGGCTGTCGAGAGGCAGCTCATGTGTTATGCTAATTTCTTCTTTATTGTTTTTGCTACGCTTCTTGCGCCAAGTGTACGTGTACGTGTGTGTGTGTGTGTTCGTTTATGAGTCTGTATTTGCTTTTGTTTTAGATTTGCAGCGTTTGCCGATAAGACAAAGAATCGAAAAACCGGAAATCAGACGCGCTGTCTATGTTTACCGTTAGTTGGGCAAGCGTCACCTGCCCGTGGCATAGGGCATTGAATTACCTTTTCATTAGCACGCGCAACGCACATCAAGCGAGAGAATCTAACAAAATATTCACACCCACAAATACAACGAGCCAAACACACACACACACACACACACACACACAAACCATAGAGAAAAGCAATCGGCCGTAACAAAATTTCCGACACGTGCGACAAAATTGACTAAAAGGGCGGGTATGTATGTGTGTGTGTGTGTGAATGAGTAAGGCAGAGAGAGAGAGAGAGAGAGAGGCAGAGTGAGTGAATAACTGAGGGAGCGAGAACGAAAGGGAAATGAGAGTTAGCCCAGGCACATGGCGCTAAGCACGCTCTGTTGCTGCAGCATCTGTTGCGTCAACATTTGTTGCTAGCAACATTTGACGGTTCTGTCAGGCAGCAAAAACTAAATGCGTGGGCCATTTGCAGTGGGAATGTGACTAGATTAGAATAGATCTTTAAAAATAACTCATCCACGACTGATTGCTTATTTTATTTTCATGATGCTGATGTGCACACGCTGTTCATTAGCTGCTATCAGATAATTTTGATAAGGCGGGGCGCCTAATATGCCATTTGAAAGGTACTTAAAAGCTTATATGCGAGTAACGGTTTGCCAGACAAGATGCTCGATTATTTAATGCACTTAGCCTATGCTAAATAATAAAAAAAATATGCTAAAAAAAAAATAATAAAGACCCTCAATTAAATCGTATTCTACCTGTATTATTCGTCAATCAGATTCCCTTAAACATTTCGTCCACTGAAAACATTTTCGACGTGTGTGTCGGGTGTGCGGCTGTGTGCACATATTTAAACGACGCGCAGCTGGCAGCGCGGCTTCATTCCGCTTTGCGCCGTTGTTCCGTGCGCCTCGCTAGAGAAGAAGAGCTTTCGAGTCCAACTGAATAGATTCAAAGCACTCTGCATTTACGTACTTGTACGTGTATATGTGCAAGCTGTTCAAACTGTGTGCGCGTGTGTGTGTGTGTGCCAATGTGTTGGTGTGCTTGGGTGCTCGTGTCTAACGCGTAACGAAAGCGAAAGTTTTGTTTGCGCGCGTGTTGCCAACAGACGCGTCGTTGGCGTCGTCTATCTCTAATAACTGCACACACGTCGCAGTCGCAGTCGCAGCCGCAGTGAGCGTCGCGTTTGTCATTGTTGTTGGCGGTGAGACTACCTAGAAGGGAATAGATTAAAAGCGTGTGAAAACAACAAGAATGCTCATTAGTTTCAATGAGCGTGCAATAAATTAAATAAAACGTGTTTATGTTGCGCGTGTGCATATCCGTGAGCTAGTGCGTGCCTGTGCGCGTGTATTAGTGTGCGGTCGCCAAACAGCTGTTAAGCGAGAACAACGCCAAACGCATACATTCCTGCATCACTTACTGCTTGCTGAACGCTTCTGAAACAAGCCAACGGGTGAGTAGCGCACACAAATAAATTGGCTCATAAATCTAGCCGTCTTAGTCGCCTGCCAAACACCACCCGCCCCGCCCCAAAAAGAGCGCAGAGAAAGAAAGGCAAAGAAACGGAGAGAGATAAATAAATGTCCAACAGCCACACGTGTCGCCTGTACAAATTGCATGTCACCGCCAACGTTACCCATTGCAGAGAGCTTTCAGCTCGCTGCCTCTCGCTCTGTAAATATGCCCATCTCGCTCTTGCTGTTGTTATTTTTGTCTCCCTGCGTGTGTGTGCGCGAGTGTGTGTGTGTGTGTGTGTGTGTGTAGGCATGCATTCAAGAACTTTGCGCCTACTTGCGCTGCCCCGTCCCTGCTCTTCATTAATGCTTTCCGCCTTGCAGCATCGCTTACAATCAGCATTTTTGCTTCACCTTCTCAAGGACGAATATCCTGTGTGCATGACTATCTCTCTGTGGGTGCGTGTGTGTGTGTGTTTTCGTTTCCCTGTGTTTGCTTCTTGACTGTTGTCGTATAGTCGCTGCCCTTTGGCCTTTGCTCGCGCTGCAACGACTGCGACTGCGACTGCAGTTGGCCAACTGGCATACATGACGTATGAGCATTATTGATTTCTCACAGACATACATTTACATAATTTACATATATTTTTGTACATGTATCGAAATGACATGAACTCGAATTAACTAAAGAATATAAATAATTATATTTAATTTTCTTGATAAATTAAATAATAAAACTCTTTGATATTCGATCGTTTGTTAATTAAAGTCTCGTACTTCTCGTTATTCCCTTATCAGCTTACAACTGAGCATAGAGTCTTTAGAATCAATTTGAGTCGAAGCATATCGAAACAACACTCTTTATTTGTTTGCACAATTCCTGGAACCTCGGACGAGTCAATGGCCCGCTGATGCCTTCCTGCTGCCCCGTTCTCCCCATTGGCCAGAGCCAATCTTCGGCTGCTCAATGGAAATTGCCGCTCGTAAAGCGGAGCGTGTGAAGCGCTTCTCACATTGAAGCCTTCAGATTGCCTAAAAAATGTAAACAAAATAAGCAATGCAAAACAAAACAAAACAAAAAACGAATTAGTCAAGAAAACAACAACAACAACAAATACGTGCGGATGTCGTAAGCGAGGTTTTGTATTCAATTTTGTTTTTGCTGCTGCTGCTGCGTTGCTTTTCAAGTGCTCAGCAGAAAAGTGAATCAAGCTGTGACTTTGACAACATATTCAATCTGCCGTTGAGTGACAGCTGTTTATTTACTGACGTGAATTAATGCCTTCACTTGGCCGTGTGAGCTGCGACGCTTAAGCGCTGCACTTGCGGCCACCTGAAGCCGGCTTAGGCCAACTAATTAGCTGCTAATGGCAGTCATTAAATTAGTCAGAGTATATATGTATGTATGTACATATATGTAGATACGTGTACTTAAGTAAATTTAACTACCATCGTTTCGATCTGATTTCACAAGTTCTGCGAACGCCTTATAGACCGACTTATCGTTATAGTTACAGTTAATCTATTTCGTGTATCCTTGAGTGATCCGTCCCGATCTTTACCCAGTTAAATTTCATGCAAAGCTATTTTAATGATGGGACAGCCGGATATTATTTGATTGTGCACACAATCCTTTAAAGTGAGTAAGCCCAACGCGTTTTCCAAATAAATTCGCACAGCAATTGGCTTGGCTATTGGCGCCCCAAACATGACACCCCGTGGTGACCATAATAATAGATTTATAATTAAGGCTCGAACGCGTTGCGCATTAAAACTTCAAAATTATCCAAAGAGCATTCGCATAAACAATACGAAAAAAAAAAAACAAAAAAAAAACCTTTGAAAATATAAACAAACTGTTGTCGAAAATAGTAACAAATGCTGCTCCATATTGTGCGGTCGCTTGTAGAGGAAGGGGGAAGTGGGAGAGGGGGTGTGTGTGGGGAGCATTGGTCGTTGCTTCGTTCGACTACATCAGCCGCAACACGTGCGCCGTTAAATCAATAAAAACAACAAGAGAAAATCACATACAAATCACAAACGCACACGCACACACACACACGCACACGGACACGCACGCACACATGCAAACACACACGAGCATCAGAGACAGCAGCACAGAAATTCATTAACACCATGTGAAAGCATTTTCGTGCACCCAGCGGAACTTTGGGAAATAAATCTACATACAAAAGCGAGCATGCTCGGCGCGAGTGCTTGTCTGTCGCCGCGGCTGCTCTTCGAGCAAGAGGAGCATGCATCGCCGGCTGAGTTCGGCATGTCCAAGTCATGTCTTTGGGTTCGTTTGCCAAAAAGTTTCAGCTGGGTTAATTTATTTTTTATTCTGTCTCGCTCGTTGGCTTGTGTAGCCGCAGCCGATCCCCTCGCTGCCCTCTCCCATTTCCTCTCTTCTCTACCTCTCTCTCTCTCATTCACACACTCACACGCACACGCACACTCTCAGAGTCTGGCTGTCTGTGAGCAGCTCGTGGCAACGAAATTATCGCCATTTCGTTGTCGTTGTCGCTGCCGCTGTCAGCGTCGCAGTCGCAGTCGCTGTCGGCGTCGCCAGCGCTGACGCGTCCGCTTCTCTAACTGCGATTGAATGACAAAGTCTTTTTAATTTATGCAGGCAACTACAACGAATAAATTCGCTTCTTTTACTTTTTGCTTTGGCTTTTGGTTTTATTATTTACCGGCTTTGGCGCCCACACGTGTATGCAATCACTGTGTTCGTGTGCGCGAGTGTGTATGCGTGTGTGTGTGTGTGTGTATGTAACGAATTGAGTCAGTTTTTAAGTGTAACAAATGGTGGCTGCAAATTTAAATACTTCAACTTAAATACGATTCACGCGCTTTTTCGGTCTGCCAAACGGTAGCGAAAGCAATAAAAATTTTGCCTAATTTGCAATGACACATTCATTTTGTTTACCTATACATACATATGCATATAATTATATATGTACATATATTTCTGTTTGAGTTTTCTATTTTAATGTTAATGGCATATTAGCGAGCTTAGTTGGATGCCCCTTAAATCCAACTAATGTGCCTGGGCTATACTGCGAAACTAAGTTCGGCATGTTTATGGCAACGGGCCGGCGATAAGAGTTTATCAGAGCATAAAAGTATAAATAGCATTGCATTTATCGTAACATACAGTTATTATTTTATTATATTTCTGATTTAAGTAAGAAATCTAATATTTCGTTTCAATTATAAGAGAATATTAAATGGAATATAAATACTTTAGCATCTCATTTAAGTAGATTACTCATTTTAGCTTTTAGTTCTCCGTATACAATAAGCTTTCGTTGCAATTCATTAAATATTTATATCTCAATCAAATGTCTATATTAGCTGGCTAGCATAACTGTGAATTGGTATGTAAAAAACATTAAATTTATACACTTTGTGTTTATTTTTTGCTCCATCATTCTGATGGGCATTATTGCTGATGCTTAGTTAATTATTCTATTCAGAACTGAAACAATAATATAGATAAATAAATAGCCCTGAAAACTGTGTTAAAAACTCGCACGATATGTGACGCATTCAGACGGCTGAAGCGTGACGGTCCGATAAAACTTACTTAGTACCACATGACGTATGGGTAATTAGTGGCTGGACCTCGATAATTATTTGGACTTGGTGTCTGTTGCAGCACGAAACTGTGTTTGCCCTAAACACACCAATATTTATCAGACAATCAAATATTCACAGACGATGATCATTTTGATGGCCATTAGCACTGTGACACATCACAGTCACATATGTTCAAAGGCGCACAAATGGGGCATTTATATTAGCATCAGCAGTGCTAACAACATTATCAACAACACAACAACAACAACAGTAATAACAGTTATAACTAGTACAGCTAATTACTGACCCAGTAATGCGAGACACACGCCATCGTATGTAACTGTAAATTGCCACACGCGCGTGCTGTTTGCCCATGTGTGCGTGCGTGGGTGTGTGTGTGTGGGAGCATGTACAATGCGTTCCGTTGCTCAGTCACAATGCATTGCGACCATAGTCCATTGCCTCGCGTTGACCGGCCGTCGTTAGATGTCACACGTGCGGCATTCTTGGCGTGACGATAAACGGCAACGGCAACGGCAAAGTAAACTGAATACGGCAGGCAGACCGATCACCGTCTATACCCTACAATTCCATCAAATGGGCATTTCCGGCGAGAAAGACTCCTATACTTGAGAAGTCTTATAACAATATGTGCCTGAGAAGTCTAATAAAAATATATATTTTTGTGTAAAGATTTTCTATTAATCAGTTGCGAATTAATATTTCAATACTGTTAGCAGAAAATATATTTTCTTGATATTTATTTAGTTTAAAAAAAAAAATCAATTCGTTTTTAAACAAATTCATTTAGTATTATTATTTTTTTATTTTTTATTTTTATTTTTAGCTTATAAGTATAAATTAAAGTCAACTTTTGTATGTTTAGTAAACAAGCTTTTTATTTAGAATTTTTTTTTAATATAGGCTTGCTTTCTCAACATACAAAATTTAAGTTTAATTTATACATATATTTATTTATTCATTTATTTTTTTTTTTTTTTAATTTTTACTTAAATATATATTTGTTTAATATATGTCATATTATCTAAATTATTTTTTTATATCTTTAATACCTGTTTATTTTTAAATTGATTTTCATTATTATTAATCAAATTTATTATTTATTTTTTTTTTTAAATATATTATTCGAATATAAAATTCTAAGGCTTTTACATTTTTTTTTTTTTAGATTTATTTTTGTTAGTATCTATCATGTTTACTTATTTATTTTCAATTATTTTAAAGAGTAATAATAATAAAAAAAATATATATTTTTATTCCGAGCACAAATTAATTATTTATATGATTATACTTATACTTATATGATTATACTTATCATTTTATTATTTAATTCAATTATTTTTAAATTTTGTATCCCAACAATTAGTTTGAATTCTCATTTCCTAACCTTAGC